ATTCTGCAATCTATAAAAATAATTATATTTAGCAGAGAATGCTGACAAGTGTTTACAATTGATTGTTTACAAATTAGTATATACGCCCAGTGGTGTATCTACTATAGTTAATATATAAAAAAGAAAAAAACTGAAGACAAATAAAGAGAAAAAAATATAATAACTATATTAAATCTCGAGGTATTTTCCTTTTGAGCCTGGTCGGCTGGCCTTCCTGGTATAAGTTGCATGCTAGTTGGTTTGGATGTGCGTCAATTCTTTTCTTATAATTACAGGCAAACATTGATATATGTTCTTGGATTGTAGGTATACCCGAGTTTAATTATTAATTTTGTTTTAGATGTGTATGTCCAACTGGTTTCTACGGAACCCATTGTCTACGCAGAACCACTGATTGCAATTCAGGAAGCCAATCAGAATTATGCGGACATGGAATTTGCGTTCCACAAAGAAATGATAATGGGTACACTTGTCTTTGCGAACAGGTAAAAATATTATGAAACCATTCTCAACTCAACTTATTTTGTTTAAAATGTTATTATAAGTATACTACCTATTCTAGGCGTCAATAGAACCAATAATGTATTATTCGATAGAACTTTGTTCATGAGATTTCTTCTATTTTAGGGTTGGACCACCAATGGGGTGTCTCCAATTTGCAATGTGGATGTCGATGAATGTGCAGGAGGACAGCACCCTTGTTCTGTACAACCCTATGTACCTTGTGTTAACTTACCGGGTAGTTTCACTTGTGGAACGTGTCCTGCAGGTAAAGAAACTTTTTTTTTTTTGCATAGATTTATTGCCGATAAAAACAATATACATTTTTAAGACAATATGTTGGGTGTAAATGAGTTTGAGAGATTATCTCCTATGAGATATCTTTTTTTTTTTTTGATATTTTATGTAAAATTGTATGGCCATTTTTTTCAATCTTTGAGTAGAAGATTTCTTGCTTAATTCTTTTAGATATTTGTTTGGGTGACTTGGTAATTGTTTATGGTATTTTTTGCTTCTTTCTTTTATCATTTTATTAATAGTTTTAATTTTTAAGTCTTTATGTAGAATGACATTCGTAATATACCAGGGTGCGTTCACCATGCATCTTAAAATTTTCGATTGCGATACTTGTATTATTTTTATGTTTGAATTGCTTCCGCACGCCCATAGCTCATTTCCGTATGTCCAGATTGAGATAATTATTGTTTTATATGTTCGTTTTCATAACACATATTTGAATTCTTGCCAATTAGCCAATACAACTCTTTGAACTTTTTCTCCATCTGTTTTTTTTCATTTTGATGTGATAAAGAAACTATAGAACATTGTTTACTCATCTTAAGGCAAAATGCCACTTACACTTAGTTTATGGTATCTTTTATTCCAGGTTATACTGGTAACGGTTTCACATGTATCGACATCGACGAATGCCAGAATAACAACGGTGGCTGCAGCACTAGTCCTTTGGTACAATGCACTAACACAATTGTAAGTAAGAGTAATACAATTTTTATTTTGGTCAGCTTGATATCAAGCAGTAGATATTTTTACTCTTATTCATCTTTAATTGAATTTTGCTGCTTTGTATACCAAATATTGTTTTTATATCTAAAAAATTTCAATTTAAACGATATTATTAATGGTTATTTTTTATTATAAACAAAATGCTTAAATTTAACCTTTTCCACTCGGATGCCGCTGCTCCGGCGGCCAAATATATGTAAATCTCGCAATTCACGAGTGGAAAGGGTTAATTAACATAATAGTTCATTGATTTAAGTAAAGATTTAATAAAGAGAGTATAATAATTCAAATTAGCTCCAAATTATGGCGTTGTCACCGGTAGATGGCGCCACCAATAAAAAAGGGTAAAATGAAAAAAATGACAAACGCATTTATGTTAGGGTATGTTACTCATGTAAAAAATATATAATAACCATCTCAGATACGAATTATATATCTTGCTAAAATTTTAGCTCAATCCATATATCACAAAGTTTCAAAAATTTAAAAAATATATATATATAACAGAGTGTGGTCAACCAATGGGTTGCCATCTAACAATAGGTTAAAATAAGTTAAATAGGTTAAAAAAAAATTCTACAGTTAATAGAACATATATAAATCTAACTGCAGTGTGAACAATAACACTTTAACATTTTTTGTTTATAAAATCACACTTTGAAAGGCTTGATATCAAGCAGTAGATAGTTTTACTTGGGTTTATAGATCTAAATACAATATCAGTTTTTCTGGAGCATTACAGCAATTATCACAAAAGTTCAAAAATTTAATACAAAATTAATAGAGCGTGGTCAACTTGATATCAAGCAGTAGATATTTTTTTTGATTCTAAATCTAAATGTGATATCAGTTTTTCTAGAGCATTACAGCAATACATCCCAAGTGTTCAAAAATTAAAAAAAAACTAATAATAGAGCGTGGTCAACTTGATATCAAGCAGTAGATAGCAGATAGCAGTACATTTTTACTCGAGATTATAAATCTAAAATACGATATCAGTTTTTCTGGAGCATTATAGCAATACTTATCACAAAAGTTCAAAATTTGATAAAAATGTAATAATAGAGCGTGGTCAACTTGATATCAAGTAGTAGATATTTTACTTAGGTTTATAGATATAAAATATCGTAAGTTTTTCTGGAGCATTACAGCAATACATCACAAAGTTTAAAAATGTTAAAAAACTAATGGCAACCCAGTGGTTAACCACTAATAGGTCAACAAGATTTATATATATATATATATATATATATAATGATATTATAGATATGTCCTATTCTATATTTCTTCTTAATTTCTTAAATTTTTGCTGTTTTCTATCAAATTCCTAATTCTGTTCAACTTCTATCTTCATTCCATTTATTTTTCTTTATTCTTCTTTTTTTAATCTCAGCAAATTCTGATATTTTTTTCTTCTTACTCCTAATACAATTCAGCTTTTCAAATTCTGTAATCCCTATTATATCTTAATTTTTATTCTTATATTTATCTTATATTTATCTTAATTTCTACTTAACAAATACAATTTTCATTTTAATTTCAAATTAACTACACTTTTTTTCATAAATTCTAATAATAAGTCAATGACAGGATTCGATCCAAGGATCCCTGTCGTGTGAATCGAACACGCTACCAAGTGAGCTATGCTCGCCACAATCTGCATTTAAACAAAAATAACTGATTAAAAAAATATTTTTTTTATAAAGGGTTCTCGAACTTGTGGAAGTTGCCCTTACCCTTACGAAGGAGATGGTGTCAACTGCGTCCAAAGTACAAGAGGAATGTGCCAACTTATGCCCAGTTATTGTCATCCTTGGCAATTTGCACCAACCGAAGTAAGTAGTAGTAAACACAAGATAAAAAAATAATTTTGTATGTCCAATGGGAGAAAAATATTTTTTGAATCATCCTAATCGGATACACCGTTCTCCAAAACGGTTAGACCTATCTTTCCCAAAAACTATCTGCACGTTTATTAGATCATTTTTGGAATTTTTTCTCTATGTCTACGATAACATCTTTGAAACTTGCTCTATATTGTCAATACAAATAAATCGTTCTATGAATCATTCTAATCGGATGTCCCATTCTGTATGTTTCTCCACAACGGTTAGACCTACCTGTCATAAAAATTAGTTAGTACATCTATTATAATTATATGTTTTTTTTCCTTCAGATCTTCCCTCTGGTCCTCTGATGTCCTGCGAATGTCCTGCAGATACACAGGTAGTGGCATTGGCCCAAATGGCTGCCAACAATTTTCTCCTGGTGATATTAGAAATCCTTGCAGTTCTAATCCTTGTGTAAATGGAACTTGCTTGGTATCTCGTAGAGGAAATTTCACTTGTGTTTGCAGACCAGGAAGCACAGGTAAATAGTAAAGGAGAAATATTAGGGCAACTTGCCTCAAGGCAAATCCCGAACACTTTTTGCATGTGATATATCATTTGAAAGGTCTCGAAGAGGAGAATACGA